CTCATCACCTCCAGGTGAGGATTCATGTTCCATCCAGTGAAGCTCAAACTAAGTGGTTAAAGCTAAAAAAAAAGGCAAAACATTAAAAGCTAAAAGCAACAAAAAGCAGTTAGTAGCTAAAATGAGCAAAATGCAACCCATTAGTTGCTAAATAGCATGAAGCTAAAAGTAGCTAAATGCATTAAAGTGCTAGCTAATAAGTAAAATGCCAAAACAGCTAAAAGCTAAACGTAACTCCAACTGTAGGCAAAAGTAGCAAAAATCTAGTTGCTAAAAGTAACAAAAACTAGCTAAATGCATGCAAGGACTAGCTTGAAGCTAAAATAACAAATGCAAAAGGTTAGCACAAAGCTAACATTAGCAGAACCGTACTGTAAGTAGCCCAGCAAACAATAAATAAATAGGCAAAACCAAAGCAAGATTTCTGTAGCAAATTTTCCAGAATTATGTTTTTTGACAGAATTCAAGTTCTAATACAATAAGGTTAATATTTTAAAAAGTAAAAAAGTTGTAACTGTAGCACCATCTGATAAATGAGATGAAGTTTTGATAGGAATGGCTACAATAGCATGACGTATGCAAACAATATGCAAGACAAAAAAAAAACAGAAAAACAGAAACAGTTATAGGTGTTTTACTGCGACTCTCAATAAAAAACTCCAGAATGCAAGATTGTCAACCCATGATTATCCAAATCTCCTGTTGGAAAGTCTTTGTTTAAATAAGTGAATGATCAGCAATAAAAACTTAAATTTCAACAAATACTTTAGAGATGTCAAGTTTAAAACCAACAAAACTAATAATAATCTAAACAACTGGACCTCTGTTCTGTAGATCACTTCCCATCTAGAATGAGTTCAAAGTTTTAAATTGCCTGAGAACTCTGCTGTGCTGCTTAATTCACCCCCCAATGGAGACACTTGTGCCCCTTTTCCACTAGTGCCACTTTGTGTAGTGTCGGTACGGTTCGGTATGGTTCCAAGCCATTTCCATTAGGCCAGATCCATGGAACCGGCACTTTTTTAAGTACCTACTTCATTGTGGTTCCAACCGGCCCCAGCTGACACCAAAATGCGATGTCAGAACACTGTTCGTCACTGATTGGCTAAATTTTTGCAAATGTTTGAAATTTCAAAAATTATTCATCAAATGTGTTTCCATCTCTCATTTTGCCCATWTTTTTTTTTTCAAAATACCTAAAAACCACCTCTACCAACCGCCCAAAACACACCCATTGGAACCGGACTGGAACATCAGTGGAAAACCAACCGGTCCAACCCGTACCTACACCGTACCTCCGACACTACACTAAGTGGCACTAGTGGAAAAGGGGCATTAGGGTCTTGTTTTGTCCGGCTCACACACAAGAGATGTTTTGGTCACATTCATGAAGGTGTGAGTCAGAGTGAAGCTAAATGCTCCTTTGTAAGTTTTGGTTAGGTTTTTAACTCACGTTAAATGTCTTCCTTCACTCCATCACTCTTAACAATAAACCTAGCTCTAGTCTTCCCTGTCCAAAATAGGAACATCTTGGTCTTTAAAGAGTGTCCCTTATCCCTGAGGTGTAGGTGGAAGGGGCAGAGCCAGAGGGGTGCCACCCCCAAACAAACAACAAGTAGGTGGAGTAACCCTTGGCTGCAGACCGCGGCATGGGGCGGGGTCGGACGTCTGACCACGCCCTCAACTCTAAACTTAACCAACCCCAGATGCTAAATAGTAAAATTAACCACGCCCAATTTTTAAGCCTCCTATTAAACTTTCCTACAAGCCATGACCACACCCACTGGATGTCCGACCTAGTATCCTAATCCGCAGTCTGCAGTCGGGGGTACTTGAGTAGGTGGGGGATCTTAGATTTTGTATTTGCATTCAGATTTTGTTGAAGATTGTTCTCTGAAACTACTGCACTGTAGAGGTTTTCAGCATGTTTAAAAATTGCTGAATAATAGCTCTTTGTAAAATTACCAAAGTCTTAGTGGTTAGCTTTATTTGGGATTAGCATCGACAATCTGCATGTGATCATTCTTAGATACTGTACACAAATGTAATCTCTATAAGTCTTAAAATGACTGAATTATAGCCTTTTAAAGTTAGCTGTGGTGGCCATTTTGAATTTTTGATCAGTATTTAGAATTTGGTAAAGATTGCCACTATACTTCTAGACTGATCTTCAGCTTTGTGTGTTTAAACATGGCTGCATAATAAGATGTGACTAGCATTCAGTATGTTTTTATATCATGTTTAGCATCTGAATCTTACTTAAAACAGATGATTTAAAGGCATGTGGAAYTAGATGTGGCATCCATCTTGAATTTTTATATCCAGAATGCCTTTTCTTTATTTATCTCTTAAAACTCACCCTGGCCACCCCTTGCATAAAAAGTCTAGTTCTGCCCCGAGTAGGTGGACAGCTGAGCCTTGTTCTGAAGCTGGTTCTCCATGTTGAGCCATACGTCTGTGGAGAGCTTGTTATAGAGGTCTGAGCATTCCTCACTGCAATGAACTTCAGAAACCAGCCGCTCAGTTTGAGGATTGTGTCCGTCACTCTCTCTGAGGGTCCTGTTAGGGTTGAACAGAACTTTAAGGTAGAAGATGGTTCACTTCCTGAACTACAGAACACAAGCCCGGTTGTTCTGTTRGAATTGTTTTTGGATTTATCGTGTGATGACTGAGAAGCTACACCAACCCAACCACATCCACACATTTTATTTTTATCTTTCCATTTCCTGTGCAGTTTAATGTCAGGCCTGTCGGCCATGGACACCAAGGCGAGCGGCCGGTTGGGGGTCCTGACCATCACCTACTACCTGTGGACGACCTTCATCGCCGTCATCGTAGGCATCGTGCTGGTGCTGATCATTCACCCGGGGGAAGGAACCGATAAAGAAAGCCACCACGGCGGCACCGGGCCCGTCATGACCTCTGCTGACGCTCTGCTCGACCTCATCAGGTTAATCAAACGTTCCGCTTTCCGTAGTGCCTTTGAGCAGGGGTTCTGATGAGAAAATACTGGATYGTCTTTACATCCTGAAAAACACTAAGGATCTGCAGCCACATTAATTAATGCTTTATATTTAAATCACAATTTTAAAGAAAATCATAATGTCAAGTCTTACAAACAGTTGAATTTGTGCAACAAATTTCCCAGTGTCTTGTTATAAAGTTAGGTCATATATTTTTACATTAGACACTACAKATTTTAATGCAAATGTAATGACTGCACTAATCAGGTGGTACAAAGTAAATCAGAATCTAATATCTAATTGGACAGGAGGAAAACATCTTTTGAGGAAAAGTTGCACCGTCACTCCCACGCAGCAGTTTGGCTAAGAATAGAGAGGCAATTATTTGTGATCGGCTAAGCTTGCACCTTGTCAGAAGGTCGCTGTGCGCCGTTTCACTTTGTGAGACTGAACGTCCCGTCTGCTCAGGCTTAATGCAGAGCCATTCAAGTCTGAGGTCCGCTAATAGCTTTCGTCTTAAAGCTAATTAAAATGGTGAGGTCGGGGATGGGGACGCTTCAGCCTCGTTACGTGTCTGATGACGTCGCTGCCCGTGTCGCTGACGTCCGCTGTATAAATAAATACTGTCCCCAGGACATCATGTGGCCTGTGCTGGGCTGGTTTCTGGCAGAGTCCAACTGCTTTTGGTTCAGCCTGTTATTCCCTCGAAGCCGACAGGAGCTGTAGTTCAAATGCGGATTACTCAGAACGTTGCATGTCATGCAAATGTTATAAACACTCTAACAGGGTTAAAAAAAAGAAAAATGAAGGCTCATGATTCAAAACATACAGCCTCATTTATTACATATATAATTTTATTAAATAAAATATGGAGTTATTTTTTATTCATCTCTGTGAAAACAGGTCACTTGTGAGGACTGATTGAAAAGTAAGAGTTTAGGGAACTTTAGGTGTCTTTGCTTCTCTAAAGAAAGCTAAACTGATTGAGCCACTCCACCATTTAGGTCAGGGGTGTCCAAACATTTTGTCACATGGGCCAAAAATCATAAAGTCAGAAGGACTGGAGGGCCAAAAATATTTTTCCTTTACCTGCTCAACAATAAAATAAGCATTGAATACTTTAAACAAATAAAGTAGTCAGATTTATTACTGGAAATGGGTGCGTAAATTAATCCAGATCCAGAACTTTAAGTGTTTTGCAGGATTCCCTTTTTGAAAGAAATTTTGCAATTTTCTAGGTTTCATTTGGGGAAAAAAAGAACATAATTTAGTCAATTCTGATGAATAAAATCAGGGTTTAGGTCACTCTTTTGTAGAAAATGCTTGCTGTATTCAGATGAATTTGATAAATTAATTAAAAGCAGATTGGAGTGCAGCAAAATCAGCTTTTCATAGAAGTCACTAGATGTGAAAAAAGCTACGAGTCTGGTTATTTAAAGACAAATAATTGGTTTTGTTGCCAATTTTTTATTATAAGATTTTACTTTGTGATAAATTTGCCCTAATAATAATAGAAAGTCTCCATCTACATCAAACAGCTGTGCCGGGG